ATACATATTCTTCATCCAAGACAAAATCAATAACCTTATAACATTATCTCCTCGCAAACTCTACATCCTCAAGGAATCAAATATTTCTCGTTTCGAAAATTGACCTAATAGTAGGATCTTTAAAAATTTGTACCCTCTTAACAATTGCTTTACTAAAAACTTTGCTGAGAATTTAAGCTGTATTTTTTAACGCTTCTCCCTATAGAGATTCTGATAAGGTGGAATGACAAATCATACTCCTTACCATGTCCTTAAGTATTCTGTTTCATCTTTCAGCAACACCATTCATGCTAGGAGAACCGACATGGTGTACTGTGAGACGATTCCACATTCCTCTAAGAATTTATCAAAAGACCCTGAACGTTGTTGACCTGATCCGTCATATCTGTCATAGTATTCACCACCACGGTCAGATCTAACGTTTTTTACTCTTTTGCCGAGTTGATTTTCAACTTCAACCTTATAAGCCTTGAACACGTCCAGTGATTGAGATTTCTCATGAATGAGATACAGGTAATCATAACGGGAATAATCGTCTGTGAACGTAACAAATAATTGTTGATGATTCCAAGAAGCTGAAGGGAATGGCCCATAGACTCCGTAATAATTAGTTTTAAAACGTACGAAATCCTATTGGCACCTAATCTCCTTATGTTTGTTTGTTTTTCTTTAATACAATTTAAGCAAACACTTAAGTCTGAAAAATTAAGGGAATCAAGAATTCCTTCTGACACAAATTTTTCCATTCTCTTTTGAGAGATGTGACATAATCATTTGTTCCATAACAAAACAGAATTCTCATTGGTCAATTTATGTTCAATACTATGTGAATTCACATACAAAGTTTCTTTATAAAAGGCAATTGCATTAAGCAAATATAGGTTATCATAACCGGATAAAGAACTGATACCCACAATATTTGAATTAAGAAAAAGATCAAACTGACTATTTTCAATTTAACAAGAGTAACCTAATTTGTCATATATAGAAATAGAAACAAAATTCTGTCTAAAAGGACAGTACTATGAATGTCTCTTTCAAATTCAAATAATAACCAGTTTTTAATGATAATCTAAAGTCCTTATAGTCTCAACCTTAACTGATTTGCCATCACCCCACACACTAGTTCGGGCTGAAACTAGTACACTTTTGGCGATAAGGCTGGACCCCCCTAATTTTTTGACAATTTTTTTTTATTTTAAAATTTTATTTTTTGTATTTACCATTTTATCATCAAATGAATAAAAAACTTAAACCCTACCACTCCAAATCCAAGCATTTTCGTCCCAACTCCCATTTCCTCATCTCTTCCTGCGGTGCGGAAATTCTTCTCTTTCCTTTTTTCCTGCGGGCTGCANTAAAAAACTTAAACCCTACCAATCCAAAGATTTAAACTCGAAAGGAACGCTTGTAATAAGGTATGATTTTGCTAAATTAAAGATTAGTACTTTCTTTTATACGTTTCTTGATTTTTTTGTTAATAATGTACATTAATTTATATTCATTTATTTTCTTTCTCCACCACAAAGTACCAATTTCCCCCATTTTAACAGATACCCCTTCAACTCTGGGACCCTCTACTTCAACGGGCTAGCTCCGCCCCTGACCCCACATAGATGAATCTTTCAGTATCAATTGGCTTAGCAACTCAGGCAACCCTGCACAGACACACTTATGTAAGTAGTGGTACCGAAATTTATCCACCAAGTGTGTTTAGGTATTGACACTAAATTTACCTCAAAACAAACCAAAGTGAGAAGTATACTTTTTTTTACACGCCAAGCGTGGTATTTAGTACATTCTCTCTTTATATATCTCAAATTTTCACAAAAGTTACAGCTAAATTCATTTCACTATTTATTTGGAACCGAATCGGATGCAGTATTTTTTTACTCTTTATTACTTGTCCTTAGAGGTACTTGCCAAGTAAGTAATATTAATTTTATCTTGCTTTAGCCTTTCTACTTCTTGCATACAATATGGAATGGGCTCATTAAGAGTCTACTTTCTCTTTTGACAGATGTAACTGACCTTAATTAACTGAATTATGCAAGAATAGAAATCAAAATTAAATGCATGAGCAAATATCAGATAGCTCAAGATTTAGTGCCTTTAATTTTAAAACAATATGAGACATCTCCATGATGTACTCCCGAATATTTCATTTACCTTTATACCTTATTGAAACTAAGTTCGCCAAAAGTGTACTAGTTTCATCCTTATCGCTATTTGCAAAGCATTTTTCAATTTCAGCAAAAAATTCCTTGACAGTAGTTACCTTATCGGACACAGCGCCCCTGAATGATTCTGGAATACCACGATTCATGATCATAAGACTCGTGCGGTTTGAACGATCCCACTTATCAAGGTCCCTCTTTTTTTTTCATCGGCCAAACTTTTATCTATAAGTGCAGCGGGTTGTTCAGTCCTTAACGCAATGTCTAAATCCATGCAGCCAAGAACGATCTGAATGTTTTCTTTCCAACCCTTAAATTTTGGTTCTAGCACAAGAATTGAATTGATGTTGGCAGATATTGTAGAAGTTGACGAATTATCTGAATAGAGAATTTATACTTAATTAACATGTTCACATAGGAATCCTTATTAAACAATTAATTAATTCAAATAATAGTAAACCCCATATCAAGATACCTAACACGACATTAATATCAAGTCTTTAGGCAGTAATATTACTTGCAAATAGTACTCTTGTTGTAGTGATCAAACATTGATAATAACTCATATTTGGATTGATTTATTATTCACATGGAAACCTTATAATTGTCACACGTTTACCACCACAAGTGTGCATGCAATTCGGCCAAATATTAACATTCCTTTGGGCCGGCTAATATCCGCATGAACTAACATACACA